GAGCTTCCTCAGGGCCTGCACAGCGGTGCTGAACCAGAGAAGGGAACGAGCATCACCGGAAGCGGTTGGCCCGAGCGAAAGAACCAGCGGCTTCCGCTCCGTCCTGCGCTGAGCATGGACATGTGTCGCAGCCGGTGGGGACACGCTTGGGGCGATTGGTTGGGTGCGCAGCCGTGCGAGCATCCCGAGGAAAGGGGCCCATCCGGAGGGGACCCATGAGGGGGTTCTCACCTCAGTGGGGCGGGCTGCGGGTGCTCAGCTGTGCCACGGGACCCGGCTTCTCCCCAGCTCGTGCCCAAGACAGCGTAGATCTGGACAAGCAGGGCAACGAGCAGGTGCGGGAAATAGTTCTGCAGGACAGCTGCGGCCTCAGACGCGGACAGGACAGCGCACAAGGCACTGGTGGCCTGCGGGCGAAGGACAGGAAATTAGGCCCCGGGAGGCCCCTGGCTCCCCTCCCAGCCCTGCAACGACGCGTGGACCCCCCGTCCGCAGGGAGCAGGTGGGCCACGTTTCTTACCCTAACAGCCACGCAGACTTAACATCTAGAAGAGAGAGAAGAGGAACAGTGAGGTCCCCCCCACCCCACCCCCTCCATGCCACACGCTTCCCCAGCCATGGTGCCCCCTGCCCGCGCGAAGCCACCCGGGAAGCTTCTGTGCCTCCCTCAGAAGCCAGGGCTGGGCACTGTGCCCCTGCTGAAGGTGCTGCCCTGGATGCCGAGAGAGGCACCAGCCCAGCCGCTCTCTGGCCAGCTGGCGAGGCGCCCCCGAAGCGCCCCGGCCCCCCGGCCAGTACTGCACCCGAGCAGGGGACTGAGGGTCACGTACCGCCATGGGCATCTGGGACTTGCTGTGCCTCGTGGATGAGCTTCTGGGATCCACGTCTTTGTCCTGCAGCCGCTTCAGCAGAGGCTTCATCAGCTTGATGCTGGAATAGGGGTCGGCCGCCAGCGCCCTCCATATCTCCGCTGCGGTTCTACAGGTTCCAGGAGAGAATTAAGAGGAGGCCCTCAACGTTTCTGCGGGGACGGCGTGAGGCAGGGGGGTGGCCCGTCCCTCGGAGCCCTTACTCGTCGCCTTCCACCGAGCACTTCAGGAGGGCGTCCACCAGCCCGTTCATCCGC